TAAAGTGGTGTGCATGGATATATGTAGAGAGTTGAGAGAACATTTTCAAGTGGATAATAGGTGTATTATGCTTTCATCTTTCGAATTTGCTGTACGGAAGATCTTAGTGGAATCATTCTTAGTAGTTGTAGAAAGACTTTACCGTGTAAGTACCTTTAGCTCTTAGGTTCCAAATTGGTTGATCATTGCTCTCATTCAGTAAACTGTGGATATAGAGTTGAGAAGGGACTCGTACTCATTAACTTCTCAGTCATTAAGGTTTCTCATCAACTCCACTTGCCATTCCGGAGCTCCCTCGATGAATCTAAAGGACTCACTAACTGCGATACCTTTGTTTCTACAACATCAAAAATCTGAAGGGATTGCTCTTTAAGTGCTCCATCCCTAAACCAAGGATTAGTGCAGAAACTGATTCTTCTCCCATTGCCAACCCTCCATTTGACGCATCCTGAAATTTATCCCTTCCTATACAAATTGTCTTTCACAATTCTTTCCCATGCGTTCTTGACAAATTTCTGGTATACCATCCTCATAGCCACCGTACCTAATTTGCCTCGATTACCCTTCTCCAAAGAGTGTCATTTCTTTCATAGACCGCCAAAGCCACTTCTCTGGAGTACCTTGTTCATATCTGCGAGCAATCACAATCGCAAACCACCCTGATGCAACGATTTTTTAATATAATCCCACCCACTGGATGATATTTCATTCTATCTTTTGAGTCACACCATAAGAATCTGCATTGAATGTATTCCATCTTCTGACTCACACCATAAGAATCTGCATTGAATGTATTCCAGTCTCTTCGCCACACTCACAGTGATTATCAAGAGAGACATGAGTAAATGGGGAGGTTAGCCAACATGCTTTTGATTAAAGTAAGCCTCCCTCCCTTAGACAATAGATTTTTCTTCGAACATGCTAAGCTCCTCTCAAACTTTGCTATGATCGTGTCCCAAGTTCTCACTTCTTCATAATTAGCTCCTAAGGGCAATCCCAAATACTTGATTGGCAATTCCACCCTTTTGCAGAATAAGGCATTTGCCAATCTGATAATCTGTGGTCTAAGAGAAGAATCCTAAAGTTATTTGTTGTTGTGCTTGATTTATGTTTCTCTCAT